GCTTGTTGCCCAGTTTGAAGAAATTATTGCTCATGAAATTAATGAGTGATAAAACTTTTTGTATATTTTTTCTATTTTCGCATGTTACTACCCATATGACTTATCATTAGCTTTTGAACATTTCTTCCCAATGGCTATTTTCTCCATAAACCCTCTTATTAATAATTTCATAATTACCTTTTTTTGTTTTCTTTTTTAATTGAATTTCTCGTTTTCTCTTCCATGTAATTCGAATCAAATTAAATCATGTTCATTTAGATGTCGTAAAAATTTGTTTATAAAACAATTCTTTTAATCATTAAAATTCTTGTATAATATTTTTTTTTTTCACAATTCTGTTTATTCTGTTTATTTTGATTAATTTGCACCCGTGTTACCGAAATTTCTATATTCATTTGAATAATTGAATAATTCACATGACTATGTGCGAGGATGGAATACTCGAATACTGGAATATATAGTATAGAAATCTATGAATGGTGCTTAGGGACTGTAAATTCATGTGGTATTAAAATCCATCAATCCTAATTTCATAGGAAGAAATTCTCAAATTTACTGTATCAAAAAAACTTCAATACGTACGCGAAAGAATAACAAAACTTTATTATACTGTACAAGTGATGCAATACAGCAATACAGCAATATGGCAATACCACCAGTAGATCTATCTATACCTCAAACAAGTTTATATATCCCAACAAGTTATATACTGTAAAAACTGTAAATTAATATCTGATATAGAATTTAGATTTAAATAAAGGCAAATATCTTGTGAAGAGTTTTATTTAAAAAAATCAGTACTTAAATATAGCTAGTATAGCTAGTAATAGTAATAAATATTAAAGTATTTGTCTTCTAAGCGAAGTTCCTCGGTGAATTCCGTGTGAAATAAATGAAATGTTACAATCTTAAAAAGTATAAATTAGTTAGTTACCTGGGTAATTGATTCGGATCATGGCGCGTGAAAATTTTCATTGTTTAAACTCTGCATTTTTCGTGATGATACCTGGTAGACGTACATAGTTGATGTATCCTTATCGTTACCATCAGCGATTAATTAGTTAATTACCGAATTATACAGCTCTACTGACATTGGTTCATTGATTTATTGGGAATATGCCGATGAAAACCAAATTTAATAACTAAACTATATACTACGTAATGCTACAGTAATTAAAAATTTATAAAATCGATGCATTTACTTTACTAAAACGTACGTACAGTACGTACGTACGTCTGTGGTGTTTCACACTTATCTGTTATACATGCATTATCTCAAAAACTGGTTACGTAATTAATTGATACTGTATGGAGTGTTCTAAGTAAAAATAAAATTTCTATACCTAACCCTATATTGGGCAATCGGACAAGTGAAATTTAAATTACTAATTTTTTTAAAAAAATCTGTTCAGAGTCAAGCAAACCAAATAATTAGGACAGTATTATACTGCCAATTTTTACTCTATCGCTATATATGTTAATAGATCAATGGACTCCGGTGTCCGGTAAAATTCATCGGACATAGAAGGCTGCCCTGGTATATATATATATATACACTAACTTTTAACATGAAACAAAACTTGTAAAATCTAAAAACATAGAAACATATAATAGGTGCAAACACCACATGTTTTAAATGTTTAATTCTACAATAAAAGTTCATAAATTTTCATTGATTTGATTAGTTGTTAAAAATATCTTGAACAATTTTTTTAACTACCCGTTCAATCTTCTAAATATTAATAACGACGTGACTTTATTAATCAATACCGTATCACACTGATCAATCATGAGCAGTTCTTTTACAAAACTAAAATTGCTTTCCATAAATGAAAAGCGTGTATGCATTTAAAATTTTTTTTTTTTGCTGAAATAGGCCTTAGCTATAAGTTTTTGATGGGTATTTTTTTTTTTTTTTATACAAGTCTTTTTAAATCAATGCGACACGGGTATAGGAATTTGTATCTGGTCATCCGAAATTCCGGATAACTCGGATACAGGTAAGGATTTTCTCAATAAATTCTAATCGATGGGATGTGTTTATTATCATCGCTTTTTTCGATTTACGTGCAGTTGGATCGACGATCTTCGTAATTTGAGTCCTGTGATTATAATATGATAGTCACTTCAACTTCGTCATATTTCGCGGAATTCATTTAATTATTCATATATTTTTTTCCCTTTTATCGATAAATATGTTTCACAAAATATGACAATAGGTGGACATCTATATTGTATTCACAGAACTCACAGGGTTCAAAAAGATCATACCTATGAAAAATCTTATTTTACATAATTTATGATTATTGCGTATCATTAGAGATGCTAATAAAAAAATACAGGTAGAAGAGATTTATGCCAAATAAATTAAATAATTAAGCTAACTCTTTAATAATAATTTCGCCATATTGATCATAAGTTTCACATCATTAATCGCGTCTTCCATAACTTTTCCACTCTTGATACCTGTTAAATTCGATAAAATAATTAATATCGTGATGATATATGTAAAGATAAATAAAATATCATATACACACAAATTGCGGATATTCGGGATCTTTTAAAATATTCATAATCCATGCTTGAAGTTCTTCATCATCATTAGGGAACGCAAAAGAGTTTACAATATTAACCACCTTTTGAGAGGAATTCATATCATTTGATGGTGGTCGTTGATTTAATGTATGGATTTCTGAATTATTGTTTTGAATAGGAGAGGTTTGTTGTTGAAGCGTTGTTGAAGTAGGAATTTTTGATGAATTATGTTGATTTTGTGCAGGTCTTGAATTGATATCTGTTGTTGTAGCAAATGACGATGTTGAAGTAGGAATTTTTGATGAATTATGTTGATTTTGTGCAGGTCTTGAATTGATATCTGTTGTTGTAGCAAATGACGATGTTGAAGATGAAGCGGAAGATCGTGAAGAGGAATCAGGAATATTATATTCTTTTTGACCCGATTCCTGACGCGTAGTCAGTGTCACCGATTGTTCTCTTTGTGACCTTGTAATTTGTTGGTGCATTGTGCCAATATTATTGAATGGTGTTTGAACTTTACTTAATATTTGGGTTTGATTTGATATTCCTAATTCATTATTACTAGTCGATGATGACACGCTCGAATCGTTCCCAAGGATAGGTTTACAACTAATGTATCTCCCAATAATCCCAGCGCAAGATTCGAAATCCTCATTAGTTTTAAATCTTAATTGAAATTTGCGAGTTTCTTGTGCGGTAGTCTACCACATAGTTATTATGTTATTATTATTATCGAACAATTATAAAAAAAAAAAAAAAGAACTTTACCACTCCATTTCGATCTACTATTGAATAATTATATCTTATTCCAATAGTAGGACTTCTCAGTAAAGCTTTTGCTTTTAAAATATTCGCATGTCGATAGGAAACATTCAAACATTCCTGATATTATTATTATTATTTATATTGATTCAATGCAATAATCAAATTTCAAACCAAAATAATAATTCATCAAAAATTCCTACTTCAACATCGTCATTTGCTACAACAACAGATATCAATTCAAGACCTGCACAAAAT